CAGGGTGCGTGCTGTCTGTATGCTGTCAGGCAAACTACTGAAGCTTTTTGAACCCTTTCTGTCAGTGAAGCCTGCACATGCGTCATCATAGAGTTGTGGAATGATTGTTTAAGAGAGTGCTTTCCCGCTTAGAATAACATGCAATACATTGGATTAAGAGTGTGTTTGTAGTTTCTGAGTCCCTTATTGTCTGCAATTGAAAAGGGTTGGAAATCTCTGGCAATCATTAGCCAATGTCTGATCCATTGTATTTTGTTTTGCTGGGGTTCAGGTCTTTAGCATAAAGACTTATAAATCTCAAAAACCCATGGAATATAAATAAATAAACAAAATAAATAAACAAATAAATACAATTTATTTATTTGTGCCAGAGATTTATTTATTAATTTATGTTAAATATAGGGCTGCACAATATCACATGGTGATCTAATCGTGATTATATGATATCACATGGTGATATAATCGTGATTATATGGCACATGCACATAATCAGCAGGGCTTTGGATGACGGGTATAAACATTTGTCCAGACCCTGGCTTTTTGGTCCTACATGAACATTTACTTGCACCCATAATTCGGTACGCATATTAGTAGTACACCTAGAATATTAATGAGAGGCGTAATGTGATGCCCAAAAGTTAGTAATCTCTATAAATTCAGCGTTTCCTCATGTTTATTAAATTTAGCTAGCGAAGTGCACCACATGCCCCTGTTTTGGTAAATTATGGAAGCGATAAGCACTGAAGTGGCGGTGAAGAAAGGGACAGATCAGCAACCAAAACATCTTTTAGAAGAGGAGATACCGTGGATAAACAAAGTAAGAATATGTTTGTGGTGTGGTGGTACTTTTTGCCATTTAAAGTCTGACACGTTTGTACAGTATCACGTTAATATGGTCACCTTTTGTTTCCTAAGATGTACATGAAGCACTTAAAGCATGTTATGGCTTACAGCCGTTATTATGTTTGCTGCCTTTTGGTCATTGTTTTGCAGTAACCACTCTAACTCCATTAACGGAGATGTTTCCTGGGAGAAACCCTAAACACAGGCTTTCCCAGCACAACCAGGCCACAAATCCAAATTCATTCATGCTCCAAATTCTGAAAGGATATTTTCTACTTTTAAATACTTATATTAGTCCATTACCAACCCTTCTCACCTCTCCAAAAATAACGTGAAACATAAACGCAGACCATATCTTTTGCATTCTGTATTCAGCATGTGCCGTTATCTTAGATTAGACTATAAAGTGGTTGGTCTCTATTTCTGGGCAGGAATGGATTACATCATAAAATGGATGCTTTTTGCCTCAGGGAAGGAACAGATTACAACATGAAATGTATTAGCCAAGCAAAATTTTGGTCCATCTAGCTGTTTTTAGCTGTTTATCCCAGGGCATGTCCTACTTTATCATGGAATGTGTTCTCTGTAAAACTTGGAAAACTTCTCAAGTCTTCTAAAATTTAGAGTGAATGGTGATCATTGTTTTGATTTGATTGCACAGTCTAAAGGTCGTTCAGGGTGCATTTCACTACATGTTGTACTGGTGTAACCATGTATGTGAAGAATAAAGTATCTTGTATAGTACAGTACTACGCAAGGCTAAGGGGCACTGAAATGTCACCTTTGCTATGACTTTCTGTAGAGACAATATGCAGCCCTCACTGGGTTTTCATTTATGTAAAGCTGTTCCATGTTAGTTTGTGTGGTGAATTTTTTTTCGTGCTGATCTACAAATGTACTGTCAGTCCCCATTGGTTTTGTTTTGGCCGATTGTAACATGTTGAATCGGCGTCAAAGCTAGTCGATGAAGCAGTTCTCTGATTGGGCCGTATGTCAAATGTCAAAGCAAGGCGATGAAGCAGTTCTCTGATTGGGCGTATGTCAAACGTCAAAGCTAGTCGATGAAGCAGTTCTCTGATTGGGCCGTATGTCAAACGTCAAAGCTAGTCGATGAAGCAGTTCTCTGATTGGGCCGTATGTCAAGCGTCAAAGCTAGTCGATGAAGCAGTTCTCTGATTGGGTCGTATGTCATGCGTCAATGCTAGTCGATGAAGCAGTTCTCTTATTGGGCCGTATGTCAAGCGTCACCCCTAGTGGTGCCTGTGTGTTCTAGCTGAAGTTTACATAATCGAAGGGAGCCGGCTGTTTTTTGACCTTGGTTGGGTCTAGTTGTTTTTCCTTCAGCTTGACGTGTACTCAGATTTACAGAAAACATCTTTAAAGGGCTCTGATCCAAAAGAGTGGACCTGGTGGATCTCTAGTTGGATTTAGGTTATGGGTATTTCAGTGGCCTGTTTACTGACAAAGTGCTCAGCTTTTTCAGAATCTGGATTTTATAACCAAAAGAAGGGTTCTTTAAATGGAGAAATGGCAGGATAGCAGGAAATGTGATCATGTAAAGGTCTGAAATCTGAAAATGTCTCCTGTGATGTTCTGTCATATTGGTTCTTTTAGTCTGACATTGATGTTTTGTTTG